ATTAAAGTCACCTACTACCATACGGTTTTCACCTCTGAGGAGCGCACCTATATCAGGGTGATATCCTGCTGGGCAGCAGGTGACAGGAGGTATGTATATGTTAAATATTTCGAGCTCAACATCGCCTGACCGGATAGCAATGCCCTGACATTCTAGGGTGGTATCCCTGCGGTCGATGTCTGCTTCGATAAGACGATACTGCACGGTGTGGTGCGTGATGAACGCTAAGCCAACACCATTATCTCGCTCGCGATCTCGGCGGTGCACGTTGTACCCGGCACAATTCAACAGAGTTGAATTGCTGTGCAACTTTTTCTCTTGGACCGCAGCTGTCAATATACCATGCCGACGCATGAATACGGTTATATCCTCAATCTTGCTCTGTAGCCCGTTGCAGTTAAATTGAAGGAGCTTCATGTGGTTGGAGAGACGTGTTGTGATGTGGGGTGTAAGGGATGTGTGTGTTCTTACCGCCGGTGGCTGTGTGCGCTGCTGTGATGGTTGCCGCCCTGTGGTGGTGGCGGGAGGCGTCGCAGTTGAGGTCTGCGACCGAGCAGCGCAACACGGGCCCTCGAAGTTCCTCGGCCAATCTCGCGTGGTACGCAGACCTGAGCATGCCCTAAAGTGGCACCAGCCAAGGCAGGTGTTGCACTTGACTGATGTCACATTACGGAATATCCTGGTCTGACATACCGTGCAGATTGTAGGAGGAATCAGGAGTTGTTGGCGGCGGCGTGTGGGTGGTGGTGCGGTTGAGTGTGTTCTGTGGTCTGTAGCAGTTGTGGTGTGGTCTATTATGTTATGTTGTTGTACTGTGGTGTTTGTGTGGGGCTGCTCAGGTGGACTGGGAGTTGGAGGCTGCTCTGTTTAAGCAGCAGGGGGACACAAAAGACGTGGTCCACTGCCGATGTGTCCGTAGTCCTGAGCAGGCTCTGAGGTGACTCCACCTCTCGCAAGCATTGCACTTGACTGAGGTGGAATTGTGGTGTAGTCGTCTGTGGCATACACAGCAGGTGTAGGTTTCTGGCCCTGGGTTTGACTCGTTTGAGTAGAAGAAAACGTAGCGAATGTAGCCCTATGGACGAACAACTTCTGAGATACTCCGCCGACCTAAACGGGGTTAGATCGCCGAAACAACAGTCCTTGGTCGGGTAAAACCCGAGTCATTCCGGTACATAGAACCGGCTGTCGTGGGAATGATCCTATATTGGTAGGTTTCCCCGGTTTCAGCAGTGGGACCACTCCTTGATTTCCACACATCAGGAATCATGAGAGTGGCCATTGACAGGTTGAGGGCCTCCGTTAGGTATGCTACTCTCTCGTTTCCAAAATGTATGCAGAGTCCGTCGGCTCCAATGGCTTTGTAGTTGTGCACTGTTTTTGGGCAGTGTGTGCATTAGGGTGGTCCAAAAAAAAGTAAAGTCGGAAATTTAATGCTCTCACCCCCTAGGATTGTTCTATACCGAAAAAAGTATACCCGTTTTTTTTAATTTTAAAATCAATATATATTTAGAGGTCACTCAAAGCGCTCAAAGTTTCCCATGTATTTTGTATGGGGGAAAAAAGACTTTTCGTAGAAATGGCATAGAATCCATGAAAATCAAAATTTTTCAATCTAAAAACTCTGCTTCTCTTCGAAAGACTTCAGAGAATAATACCCAATTGTTCATTTAAACATTTTTTAATTTTAAAAATTTTTTAAGGGTCGCCGAAAAATCCCAAAAAAAATCAAATATACAAAAAGAAGCGTTAAAAATTATTATTTGCATTAGCATTAAATTTCCGATTTTACTTTTCTCCCATACATTTTTGGACCACCCTAGTGTGCATCCTCCTGGTCACTCGACGTTTGGCCTTGTCTACCGAAGGATGCAGTGCAAACTGCCGGATAAAATACTGTCGTCGCGCTTCGCCGAGTTGGACCAGAACCTCACGGTTGATAAGAGCTTACTCACACCAGAAGCGAAGTTACAGGACTTCAAGTGCTCTTCCCACTTTTCCGCTTGTGCTGATTTACCAGTTGCCGAATATCCAAATTAAGGTTCTTCAGGCGAGGATCACCGGGATCAACCTGGCGTAGGCGGTCACACTCATTTGCTAGTACAGCTGCTTCAGCCGGGAAATTTGAGCGAATTACCGCGATGCATCCGGATGGTTTGAACCGAGCCTCTGCGGCAGTGACTACTCTGCGGAACTGGTATTCGCCAGCGTGTATATCTGAGGGTGTGGGAAGGGCGGCGAAGCTGCCCTCGTTAACGTCCGCGAAGCCGTTCCATTCAGCTATGTATGTTAAAGCTGGTATAGGTTCGGTGTTCCGCGGGTGCAAATTCAGTGGACTTATTGATCGAAATGATTATTGGCAGATAGTCTGATGCCAGCCTTAGCATAGGTCGCCACGATATGCTATTTATCAGACCAGCAATTGTTAGGTCTGGCGAGCTGCCGCAGATGCCCACAATCCTGATGGGGGCGTCGTCGTTCTGAGTGGCGCACCTATGTCAGGGTGATATCCTGCCGTGAAGCAGGCGACGGGGAGTATATACGCGTTAAATATTTCGAGCTCGACATAGCCTGACCGAACAGCTATGCCCTGACATTCTAGGGTGGGGTCCCTCGGGTCGATGTCTTCTTCGATAAGACTATACTACTGTGTGGTGTAGGATGAACGCTAATCATCCGCCATTATCTCGATAGCGATCTTTACGGTGCACATTGTAGGCGGCGAAACTCAACAGAGTTGAGTTGCTGTGCAACTTCACTTCTTGGACCGCAAGTATCAATATGCCAATCCGATCCATGAAGAATACTATCTTTTCAATCTCGCTCTGGAGTCCGTTGCAGTTCAGTTGTAAGAGTTTCGTATGCCTTGGGAGGCTGCTCGCGTATACGGGGGGTGAGGGACGTGTGGGGTCTATCTTGGGCCTGTTACGCCCTACGCTGTTGCTGTTGCTGCCTGGTGGTGGGTGGCAGTAGTGGGTGCGATGTAGTGCTCTGCAGCAGGGGACGCGGTAGTTGTCCACTCGTGTGTGGGGCGTAGACCAGAGATACTGTGGGCAACCAGGAGTTGCTGATTGGCTCGCACATGCCAGTTGTAGTGGCTGGTCAATTGGTGTGGTGGTTTGGGGGGTGGTAAGGTTTGCTGTTGCTAAGGGGATGTTCTTGGAGCCGTGCAGGCTCTTTGGGTGTTAGTTTGCACCTGCGCCTTGAGCGAGCGGGTTGCCGTGGAGGCTGGTTGTGCCGTTTTGCTTGAGCAACAGGAGGCCACAAAGCTTGTGGTCCACTCCCTGTGAGACCTAAGGCCAGAACAGGTTCTTAGGAGACTCCATCCGTTGCAGGAATGCACCTAGCGGGAGTGGAGTTCGGATGGAGTTGTCTCTGGCAGACACAGCAGAAGTATGTTCCTGGTCCAGGGTTAGGCTCAATGCCCGC